GCTATAATCGAACCGTCAACCTCGTCTGTGGAGGGTTAGGCGCCTAGACCACTAGGCTATGGGACCCTAACCCAAGAAAAGATACTTAATTTTGAATTTTTTGATTAAAAAATTCAAAATTAGACAACTTTTTTTATATTTTCAAGAAATATAAAATTAAATATGCCAGAATAATATAATGTATTTTTATATACTAAACAAGATTTATTAAAGTATAAAGTTAGAATGAATTAGTAAACATTTGAGAATTATAGTATTTTTTAGTATTTTTATTAATAAAATTATATAAAATATTAAGATTCTCAAAATTTTACTAATTAATTCTAACTTTATACTTTAAGTAAACTTGTTTAGTATATAAAAATATATATGATCTTGGATTTTTAATCAAAAATTAAGTATCTTCTCTTGAATTTTGAAAAATTATAGTGGTTTGAAAAATGAGATAGCTTATTTTTGAGTATAATTTTTTCAAAATATAGATAATTTGCTAAAAATAAAATATAACATATATAAAATTAATATAATTCACCAAAATAGTCAATTATAACCTATTTTAAAATTAACGTCAATTCGCTAAAAAAAAAAATATGTTATATATCAGAGATATCCAGGATTCTATAATAACTCTTTAAATCCTCTTAGTATATTATAATTAAAGAGTGTTGCTAATTTGCCTCTCTGGTGATATAACCACCCTATGATTTACCAATTAGATTGCAGAATCTTGTGTAACAAAATAAAAAAAATTTTTAAGAAAAATTAAAAAAATTGTTAATATTATAAAATTTTATTACAAAAATTAGCTTTGGGCTATTAAGTAAAAGTTTTCAGTACCTAATTTTATATATAAATAATTTATATTTTAATTTAATTTTTTTTTTTTTTTTTTAAAGTGAAATCTTGCTTTATGTTATTTATTAGGTATATACATATATAACATACATTTATATTACAATAATACAACTATGGTTTAGACTAATTATCTATGATCTATACCTACCAGAGCTGTCCATGTTCCACTTATATATTACTAAATATCCTAATCAAACCTTAACAACCTTATATCTCAATATGGTTTTAGTGCAGTATCTGTTACAAATCCTACTAGAGGGCACCAGGCAAGCATAACCTCATAGCTACTTCTAGATTGGTATAGTACATATTGTCTGCTATTATTGAGTTTGTATCTCAAGCTATTATTTGTAATGCTGCTATAACCAGTTCGTATCTTAAGCACAATCTTTCTTATTATGTAATATGCATGCAGGACTTGATAACAGATACTTTCCTAATTGGTGGGTCTTACAGGTTATAGGTGTCGAAACTTCTAACTGAGTTTTTTGAAGTGCATATGGGCAGAGTGCTACAAAAAAGAGAGAAATCGACAAATTTTTAAAATTTTTTTTTTTACACAACTCAATTTAGAATAATATTAGAATAATTTTTCATTTCAAACATGAAAGCAGTTGTATTAATAAAATTTTGTAGTATAGCTCTTTAAAGTTTGTATTTTCTTATAGTTTATTATAAAATTTATAACATAAAAATTGATCTTCTAAAGATCTTTTGTTTTGTCGATTTTTCCCTTTTCTGTAGCACCAAGCCCATATTGTACTACTTTCAGTATTATATATTGGTATTTTAAAGATGGTATTTCTATGTTCTGTTTTATACTTGTTTCTTTTTCCAGGTCTAATTCTAGGATCTTCCCCTAGTCATACTACCGAAGTAGCCAAAGAATGTACAACTAAGGTGGCTCTAGTGACCTCGTAACCAGACAAGTACTTCTAGTTGTGTATGACTTTGCCATGTCTTGTCCATTTTAAATGTTTTCCACCTGCCAACTTACTCTATATATAGAAATCCTATTCAATCTAGTAGTAGTACAGGTGCCAGAGGTGTTTCAAATCTAGTAAGGCCAATTCTTTATCACAGGTTCCTTTGTGTTTACCATATTTCTCATCACTTCCCCACACTCACTTCCCCACACCCACTTCTCTACACTCACTTCCCCACACCCACTTTCCCACTTCCACTTTCCCATTCCCACTTCCTTACTTCTCTCACATTTCCCTCTCTTTACTCTTTACTATTTGTCAAATTCGGTCACTAATTAATTTACTGACGTTTTTATTAAAGATACCTGCTTTGCAGGTTTCTTTTAATAAAAACGTCAGCAAAATTAATTAGTGATGGAAACTGTGCAATAGTAGAGGGTTGATTTATTAAATTTTTATGATTCTAAAAAAATTTTTGTTATATATTTTAATAAATCCTCCGCGATTTCTTTACTTATTTTATCCACATTGCTTATATCTTCTTCTTCGTTAACTGGATTTTCACTATCATTGTCGATTATTTCATTTTCAACAAATTTATTA